AATTTTATAATATATTATATAATATATTATAATAACTTTATATTCTAATTATGTCATTTTTTAATTGATAAACAAATTTCTAAATATAGAAAAGACATACCTCCTATAGATGAATAACTTGTATGAACAGGCAATCTGTGATTGTGATACGTGCCTATGTTATGCAGATGATTCCAATATTCTGGTGATCCATGCATACAGTGGGTATTATTTCTAAACAAAATTTTACAATATAAATAATGTAATAAAAATGAAAAAATAATTGTAATATGATAAAGACAATTATATTTAAGAATGTAGTGCTTACCTATGACTAAAATCTGTTGACCATGGATTAACTACAGGATTTGTTGGTGTAGATGATGTATGTTCTTCATCAGATTCTACAGTTAAGTCAACTACGGTGACTGTACGATTATCTTCACTTGTGTTTTCTAATGAGTTCTATATTATAGAAAATGTGTTCTTTTAAATAAAGGTTTCATAATATCTACATTAAAAATTTTTCCTATTTCAATATTATTTGTGTATTATTAAATTTTTCAATATAGAAGATTATAATATAATATAAAGATTTTTTTTAATAGCAATCATCTTTGATATATTATATAGCTGATAGAGACCATAGCAGTAATAATATTCTGTTTTGACTAAAGTAATCTTTATAAATAAAAGCTATATCTATAGATTTTTTTAACATACAAAAAGTTTTTCTTTCTCTATGATCATTTTTCATACCAAAAAGAAGTATAGGCTAACTAATGATATATTACTAGCACATTAATGTTCTTACTGTATTATTTTTATATTTAAAAATATTCACATACCTTGGTATTATGGTTGACAGTTCCAAGTACTTCAACTGAGCCATCCTCATCATCACTATCACTACTGGAGGACCAATCTAACTGCAAATCTGGTGCTGATGGTGCATCATCACTTTCTGTTAGTTATAAAATTGATAAATTAATAATCATTGATTTATGTATATGTATATATATGTAATCTTAATATATTATAAATGTTACAAAAAAAACATACGAGATGAACGTATTTCTTCAGGAGTTATCACATTTGATATAACTGAATGATACAAACTATTAGACTCATTGGCATTATTACTTCCTAAATTTTGTAAAACATCTGCATTTTCTGTTGATCTCGTTATACTGCAAAGTAATAATTTATTTATAATATATTACATGAATATATATAAACAACATATATATATAAACAACTGATACATAAATATTAATAAATCAGATAAATACTTGTTTGAAATAGAATGATCTGACAATCTAGATGGTCCTGCTATACTCAAACTATCTGGCTGTTGACCACTCAATAATTTTTGCTCGTCGCTCTTTTTAGTTTTATGCTTGACTGTCAAATCACGATCGTGCAAAATTCTTTTTCTTCTATAATTATCACACACTCTCTCCTCGCATGAATTATTCAATTGTCGAGTTGGAGGATCTTTTTTAGAATTTCTTTCTTGTCTATTTTGGCACATGTTGCAATTCAAGAGATCAGGTTGCCAATATTCCTGTGAATCACCAGTTGCATCTTGTTGTGGTAAATAATTTCCATAAACAAAATTATTTTCGGAAGCAGTAGGATGAGTTGAATTTGTATAAGGACCTATAGCTGTTACATCTGACTCTTCAATATCGCTTTCTGCAAATAAATGCTCATACTCCATTTCATTACCTGTAAGTGAGATATGTTCCATATTGTATTATGTCTTAATACAAAATTTGTACATGAAAAATAATTTATGTATTGACAATTGATGTATATGACAGATTGATGAAGAATCTGTCAAGTTCCTTGTGTATACCTGAAGGAAACCGAGGTTGTGGAGAGGGATCAACTGTCGATGTGAATGCTGTATCAAATATATCAGCCAACGACGTAGAGTTAGCTTCTACAGATGCGGCTGTGGACTCTCCTTGAAACAGCTCGCTTTGCTCTTCAGGTTTGCCCTTGTGCCAGACATTTTCTGAACTTGTGCTCTCCTCCATCCTACTTCTATTTTATAATCACAACAATACAACGCATTAGACGCAAGAGTAGTCGGACTCGAGTACATTCAGTTGCATAACATTAAAGCCGGAAAATATTCGCGGAATCGAAATAATCGACTCTGCACCAAGATAGGATGATATACGCAAAATTAAAGATAATAAAAATAATCTTTTTTCGGATATGTGCGAATCTAGAACAATGATAATCCACATTGAAGCGCGGCCCCGAAGGGTTGAAGGTTTTTTTCCGTTCTTTGACAATGTACGTTACGCACGACTTTTCCGGGAACCGTATCGAATTACAGGCAAGAAAAGCCTGACTCGGATACGGATGGGGACGAAGAAAAGTATCGGTCTACTTCCGGGATTTTGCTGTACATTCACGCGATAAAATCTCGGATCAATAGCGCAATGGAATAATTCGAAGTGCGCTGAAAGTGCATTTACCTTGTAATTCCTTCGACGCTCCCGTCAAGTGATAAGCGTATCTTCTCACCACGTCATTTTTATCAGATTTAATTTTCGTGATACCGCCGTCGTCTGTTTCATACTTTGTATACGCGCCGATATTACCTTCGTAATCGGGGCACTGCGAATTTGATTGAATTGCGATCCATGTAAAAACGTGGATATAATTAAATTCTTATGTCAGTAATAATGATAATGAAATCGAAAAGAATTTATGTAGACTGGCGCAGACAGTATCTTAAGCGACGTATATCTGGCAACGGCGGTACCATCAATTGTGCTTCTTGTCAACTACACTTGCTTTCATCAGAACATTCCAGTCGTCCTGCTGATCGTACAGCACGCTACCTTTCCGGCATCTTTATAAATCCCGATCCATAATGTAATGCCTCCGGCACATCAGCTCGATGTTCAGTTCGTTGTGCGCGACACGCGATATCCAGGGCTGCGTTCAGAAATTACGCCCAGATAACTCTAAGCTATAGGTTACGTTATGTTATATATTATAGCAAAAATGCATCCTAGAGTTATCTAGGCGTAATTCCTGAAACTCAGCCTAGAGTACAATCAACGCGATGCTACAACAAACATTTTGAAGTATTTTTTAATTGGTCAGTTTGTAAAATTCTTTCTTCTAATTCACACACGATATCCAATGAGACTATTATATTTAAGGCTTCCTTAAATTTATCTTTAGATACTCTACGAATTATTTCATTGGCTGCTGAGAATCTAAAGATAAATTTAAGGAAGCTTTAAGTACAAGGTCTGATTATACGGGCATAAGAGTTAAAAACTGATAATATTGTTAATTTTGTATGTATTTAGAACTCAATGATACTCGATTTCTTTAAAATTGTGATTTCAGTGTTGTCGTCAAAGTTTGATTATCAACAAAGATAATAATTGCAGAGAAGAAATTGTAATTTTTTTACAATATATAGGATATTTTAGCTTTACAAGTATGCATATTTATTTATGGAACATTTATATAATAAAAAATCATGAATTTAATAATGCATAAGCCAAATATTTATATTAATAATAGCAAATTTATATCAATTGTCGATAATGTTAGCGTTCTTCAATTACCTCCAGATTCTCCGGGCTCTTTTTATACCGTCGAAAATTTGCCCAGGGTTGACGATCTTTAAATAGTATCTCGTCGGTGATTCTTGTTCCGCGTTAGACCGGATTCACATCTTGACGGAAAAGCGGAAAGTGGAAAAGCGGAAGCCAATCAGAAAGACAGAAGCCGACAAGCGAAATGTTTCGCCTACTACTGCGAATTCCGATTGGCTTCCGTTTTTCCGTCAAGATGTGAACCCAGTCTTAAGGTCTGAGCACAAGAATTGTCGTACATTTACTTAGATTTAAATTGTAGACGTAAGTAACACACAAGCTTTCATGTATGACGTATATACTTATTACCGTGTCTCCAAGAGAAATAAATCATACGCCAAAGCTACAACTTAAGTCTCTAAGTAAAGTGTTATGATAATTCTTGTGCTCAGACTCTTACGCTATTCCGCTTGCATGGATAGGCACCTTTAGCATATTATGTTCAAACATTTATTTAAAAAATATTATAATATAAAAATTGATGAAATATTTAATTATATGTATATATTATATATTCATTATATTTTCATATTATATATTCGGTCGAGTAATGGACAATTAATGGACAAATTTAAAATTTGCCAGTAGAACAAGTGCGACATGTTTATAACCAATAAGATGTAGCGATCGAGGCACGATTCTCGATTCAACGCTCTCGCAAGTTCGTGGCACAACCAGGCAAACTTCGCGCGATATCTCCTGTCTGTGTCTTTTCCTGGACTTGACCTTCTTGTTCGATTGTAGTGACTAGTATTTCAATGGTGCTTCGGTGTTAATTCAATTTTGAGCATTGTCTCCTAAGTGGAAAGGACAAATTAAGAGATGGCTGTGGCTACCAGGTCATTTTCAAAATTCGCTGGTGGGTCTTCGCAGCATATCCTCGTACGTCCCATAATATCCTCGCGTTGCATCGTCTTCGATGTTCTCTTTGACTTTTGCACATTTTAACGACAATACTCTCGAGATTTTTTCTCCCGCTGGTTACGCCATGCGCAGCCTATGAACAGACTAAAAATAATTCTGACAGTTTGCATTTATGATAACATTTTATTATATAAGGGAAGACATAATTACGACTGAATCGCGCCTTATCGGGAAATGCGTGTTTTACTAATTAGGAACGACCTATGAGCTCATATGCAAAGCAATTGGATGATTTGTTCTTACAATAATGCTCTCATGACCCTTCCCCTGTGATGATAACTCACACATAGCTAGGATTAGCGATTCTCCTTTTCTTTCCTCTTTATATGCTTTAATCTTTTCTTTATTTTTCTCAGAAAATTGCATGTTTTATATAGATATCTTCTATTCGTTATTTTATGTCAGTATAAACATCAAATTACATTCGTTGAATAATCTGTAAGCAAGTGAACTGTGACCTAGAAATTTTGCTGTCAAGATGCTAAAAGATAACATACCTTTTTAATTTGTATGTAGTATTGTTCAATATATATTTTTGTACATGATTTTGTACTTTAATTTGCATATTGATATTAAAATCTATATGCTGTCATACTTGTGACATTTTTAATAAATATATCCTAGTTATTCTTCCCTTTCACATATTTTTATTTTACTGTATTGGATTTATCAATATATAATATATTTATTATAATATTCTTATAATGTTTCAGTCAAGAATTGTGGAAGTTTATTACGTTCTCAGGTGAGATTTAATTATACAGAAACTAGGAAGAATTTAAAAATCGATGCAAATACCAAAGTGATATGTCAAGGTTTTACTGGAAAGCAAGGGACTTTCCATTGTCAGCAAGCACTTGATTATGGTACAAAGATAGTAGGTGGAGTTAATCCTAAGAAGGCTGGAATAGAACATCTTGGTAAACCAGTATATAAATCTGTTAAGGAGGTAATATTACTCTTTTACAACATTTATTAATTTATTCGCTGAATGACATTTAAATTATCTGTGGTACTTTATAGGCAAAAGAAGCAACAGGGGCTACTGCAACAGTCATTTATGTTCCTCCTCCTGCTGCAGCATCAGCCATTATGGAAGCAATTGATGCAGAAATGCCATTAATTGTTTGTATTACGGAAGGTATTCCTCAACATGATATGGTCAAAGTAAAAAGACGATTACTTGAACAAAATAAATCACGTTTAATTGGCCCAAACTGCCCTGGAATAATAGCACCTGAACAGGTATAGAAAAAATTTTAGACAAATTATATTTCAACTAATTAGGTTTTTACTAACCAATAACTAGAAGTTATTGGTTAGTAAAAACCTAATTGAAATATTAAGTTAAAAAAAAAATTAAAAAGTTAATAACTTTTAATTTAACTTAGTTAATTTTAAATGCATTAATTTTTAACTTAATTTAGTTATTTTTAAACTTCAATTTATTAACTTTTTTTAAATTAAAAATTTTCTATCTCTTAATGCTAATATTTTTTTTTCTATAAAATTTTAAACATTAAAGAATTAATTTAGAAAAAGTTCAATGATTTTATGATGAGAGACTAAAATAATAAAAGTCACACACCATGTGACAGTCAGTTTTTATTGACTCAATAGATTTTGTCAATTCCCGCTTATATTTGAATACACTAATTTTAAGTTCACAAATATTTCAACAACATAAATATAAAATGAGTCTTAGATGAAGAATTGTAGAATAATGTTACACATCCACCTATTTTCTAAATTTTTACGTATATTTTTTAAATATCTAATAATTGTAGTCGTAAACGTGACAGTCGTAAACATGCATGAACAGTCGTTTCAGAAATTAAGGAAACTTATATAAAAATTGAAGAAAGAGAAATAATGCAAACATATATATCCTTCTCTTTCGTAAGATTTTGAAAACATCTTATGATGTGACTCTTATTATATATAAGTAACTTACATGTGGATATAAAATTAAATTTGCCTAATAATCTATATTTGTAAAGATTATTTAAAGTAATCTCATTTTAAGAAAAATTAGGACATTCTGATCTCAAAAATAATTTTTTTCAAAATTAACTTTTTTTAACTTAGGTTAATTTAACCTTAACTTTTATTAAATTAATTCTTTATTCCTTCAATTTAATTTTATTAATTTTATAAGCCATTAACTTAATTTAGTTTAAAAAAAAACATTAACTTACCCAACCCTACAAATTACAAATTTATTAATAATAAAATATAATTCTTTCTTTCTTATGTGATATTGTAGTGTAAAATTGGTATTATGCCTGGTCATATACATCAAAAAGGAAAGATTGGTATTGTTTCGAGATCTGGAACCCTAACTTATGAGGCTGTGAATCAAACTACACTTGTAAGCACATTTAAAAAATTGTAAACTATTTAAAAGATTGTATGTTTATAAAATGTCAAATATGTGTTAATGTTTTCTTTGAAGACGGGACTTGGACAAACACTATGTGTTGGTATTGGTGGTGATCCATTCAATGGTACTGATTTTATCGATTGTTTGGATGTATTTCTTACCGACCCAGATTGCGATGGTATTATAATGATAGGAGAGATCGGTGGCAGTGCAGAGGAATTTGCAGCAGAATATCTCATTGAAAAAAATACTGTTGGTTCTTCAAAATTATTGGTACCCAAATCCCACAGATACAATCCAACCTAATCTAATCCTATCTTACCCTAGAAATCCTATCGTAGGATTAGGTGTGGGAAAAAGTTCGTGGCGTTTTTCCCCTTAGATGGCATTAAAAAAACGCCACGAACTTTTTCTCACCTAATATGTTTTTATTTTACCTAATATGTCATATTTTACTTACTAAGTATATGTTATATTATAGGGTGGAAAAGCTAAGCCAGTGGTATCATTTATCGCTGGTCTTACAGCACCACCTGGACGAAGAATGGGACACGCTGGTGCTATAATCTCAGGAGGAAAGGGTGGCGCACAAGATAAAATTGATGCACTCGAAAAAGTGAGTCAAAATTTCTATTCATATACCATTTATGCTCCTATCATTGATATTATACTTTAAATAATTTTTGGAATTAAATAATATATACATGAATTCTGTTATTAGGCTGGTGTAATAGTAACAAGGAGTCCTGCACAAATGGGTAATGAACTTCTAAAGGAAATGACACGACTTGGCTTAATTAATTAAATCACACACTACTATAATTCTGTGTAGTTTCCTTCATATCCGTGTAAAATGTCTTCGTGAAAAATAAATTGAAAGTATGCCATACAGCAATAACTCACAGAACATAGTAGTGTATTAGAATATAAAAATTATTTCACTTGCTAATATTGCATTAATTATTCTCAACATAGAACATTGATTAATGCTGA